CGCCGCTGTCCGGCGGCGGCCGCGCCGGAGGAGGTGGCGCAGCCACGCGGGTGTCGGCGCTGGCTGCGCGCGCCTCCACAATATCGATCACATGTTGCACGGGCGTCAGATCATCCTTGGCACTGGCTGGGACCCTTTTCCCTGTGACCAACACGTGCGGCGTCCCGGCCTTGGCGATGAACCAGTGGATCCGCCACCGCGCTGACAAGCATCGGATGGGTATTGGTAGTAGTAGTAGTAGTAGTAGTAGTAGTAGTAGTAGTAGTAGTAGTAGTAGTAGTAGTAGTAGGTAGTGGTAGTAGTAGTAGTAGTAGTAGTAGTAGTAGTAGTAGTAGTAGTAGTAGTAGTAGCATGTAGTAGTAGTAGTAGTAGTAGTAGTAGTAGTAGTAGTAGTAGTAGAAGTAGTATTAGTAGTAGTAGTAGTAGTAGTAGTAGTAGTAGTAGTAGTAGTAGTAGTAGTAGTAGTATAGTAGTAGTAGTAGTAGTAGTAGTAGTAGTAGTACTAGTAGTAGTAGTAGTAGTAGTAGTAGTAGTAGTAGTAGTAGTAGTAGTATAGTAGTAGTAGTAGTAGTAGTAGTAGTAGTAGTAGTAGTAGTAGTAGTAGTAGTAGTAGTAGTAGTAGTAGTAGTAGTAGTAGTAGTAGTAGTATAGTAGTAAGTCGTAGTACTACTAGTAGTAGTGGTCGTAGTAGTACGAATAGTTGTTGTGGTACTGGTACTGGTACTGGTACTGGTAGTGGTAGTGGTAGTAGTAGTAGTAGTAGTAGTAGTAGTAGTCGTAGTAGTAGTAGTAGTAGTAGTAGTAGTAGTAGTAGTAGTAGTAGTAGTAGTTATAGTAGTAGTACTAGTAGTAGTAGTAGTAGTAGTAGTAGTACGTAGTAGTAGTAGTAGTTGTTGTTGTAGTACGTCGTGCGTCGTACGTAGTACGTAGTAGTAGCACTACCAGACGTAGTACTATTCTTTATAAGCATACAAGGAGTAGTGGTAGCAGCAGCAGCAGCAGTAATGGTAGTAGGAATAGTAATGATAGTGGTAGTAGTAGTGCTGGTAGTCGGGAGGCCGAAGGCCATTGCATGGCCTTCTCCAGTTTGCCCTTCTTGCGCGCGCGCAACAACTGCTGCATGATGTCCTCCATCGTGCAGAGCGGGAAGTCGCCCTCCTCGCCGCTGCTGCCGCGCGGCGGATCCCCAAGCCCACGTTCCTGAGCAGCCTCCTCCGCGGCAAACGCCTGCATGGCCTCGGTCCCTTTGTCGCCGCTGTCGCTGCTCGTGGAAGAACCCGAGGACGAGGACGAGGAGTCTGCCGCGCCGTCATCGTCGGAATCACTGAGGCACTCGGCCGCGGGCGATGCGTCATCGCTGTCGCCCTCATGAAGTACATCATCGGCCGCTGGCGGGGGATCAGCTGCCGCGGGCAGCTCGTCCCGGTTGCTGTGCCAATTGGCCATGAAACCTTGGAAAAGAGCGGCGACGCCTGGCGGCACTGGGCTGCCTGGTGGTGGGGGCATGAAGTCAGGGCAGCACAGTCCGCCCCCGCGTTGGCTGCAGCCGGTGCGCATATTAGGCCGTCACTCCTGCGGAACTCCTCACACTTGAGGTTCCTCCAAGAATTACTCGACGCGGGGCTCCCCATATGTGCATATCATTCTCTTGGTACGTATGTCTTTCTATGGATATCTGTCAATGAGCGCCTGGCCACCCGAGTTGCCCGCGTCCTCCTCCTCCTCCTCCTCCTCAGCATCATGATCATAATCATCATCATCATCATCCTCCATCCTCCTCCTCGTCGTCCTCGTGCCCCTCCTCCTCAGCCTCGCCCTCCTCCAAGACGGGCGGCAGCGCAACTGTATATTTTGATGTCGCTGTCGAAGGTGCCGTCGACGGTCAGGGCGCATCCCGACACCTGCCAGCACCTCGTAATTGTCGGGCGGTAATCACGGTGCAGCATTGCCAGGGCGTTGGCGTACCAGTGCGTCATGAGGATGCGACGATCTCGAACGGTGAGCATGTTCTTCACCCAGCGCTTATAGTTGTGGCGGTCCATGAGCCATAAGTCCTGTTCGTACCTCATCAAATCCTTCGTGATCTTGCCAAGGCCTCGGTCGATGACTTGCCAGTGCTCTGTCATGGAGCAAGGGCCATGCGCAATGTTGTGTCGAGCTCCAGCACATGCGTCAAGAAATTCTTGGCACCTTTGAGAAGCCAGCGAGTCGCAAAGCCCAAGGGTTTCCTGGAGAACGCCATCCACGACATCCGCCACCGCGCCGCAAAGCACGAATGTGACCATAGGGCGTAATACTACCCGAACAGTGCTCACACATAGATTGTCCTTGTCCTACGCATAGGATCCGCGCCCCAAGCAAGGGGCAGTATATAGAAACATGCGTAAAACACATGCGATTCGAGGCACATGAGAAGGGCAATGTGAGGGAGCATGCGTATTTTGCATAGGATCAGGCCCAGAAGAGAGTCACTCTACGTATAAGCACATGCGTAAAACACATAGGATTCGAACCGGAGGATAAAAGCGGCGCGCCGCAGGCGTCTCGGATAGTGCCGATTGAGAAACGGGACCATCTGCTGCTGGAAAGTCTGGATCATCGTGGGGCTGTCCATCCAGGCGCACTTCTGAAACAAAACGACGACCCTGTCGTCGTAGGCCTGGCGCTCCTCCTGGGCGATGCGGCCCTGCCCGCGCAAGAGGATCACTCCTGGAGGATGTGGCCCTGCTGCCTCCCCACAGACAGCGATGTGCAATGTGCACTGTCTTTTGCGCAGCCCGGCAGCAGGACATGCTAGCTTGACGTGTTTGCGCTTTCGCTCCGAAGCATGGGCCCACGTGCGCTTCTCGTCGTCTAGCACGAAGGCGCATGGCACTTGGTCGAAGGAGAACCTCTGTCTCAGTGGAAACCGGCCGAACACGTGGTTCCATGTATCCGCCAACGTGCCTGGGAACGTTGAGGCGCGGGGGAATGCCAAGTGCTGTCTGGCCAAGTTTATGTAGTTTTCTCAGAGGCCCCCAGGAGGCACCCAAGAGACTTTCGAGAGGCCTCAAGACTGCCTCCAACAGGCCCCCGAGAAGCCTCCCACGATATCCCAGAGATCATCCGAGAGGCATATAGTTCACAACCCAGGCACGGTGGCGGACTTGCCGCAGGCAGCTTGGATATCCTGCAGGCACGTCATCATTTGGCCACTTGGCCAACAAATGCTCTCGAAGCCCTAAGCAAAACGCCGTCATCTCTCGATGTATTGCCTCCTGTGGTTTGTTCCGCGTGTTGGAAGCCCTGCAATCCGCCACCGTGCCCCCATGGCACGGTCAGGCGCGCCCGTGTTAGTTGTTGTGTTTAACGTTATGGTTTCCGGGGATCCAAGACGGCAGCAAGGGCCCCTGAAACCGCCCAGAGACAACCCAAGAACGTCCCAGAACGGCCCATCAGACGCCCAAGACAGCCCAAGGGGACCCCAAGAAAACCCCAAAGAAGCCCAAGACAGCCCAATTCTCACACTCGTCATCCCCGTCTTCGTTATTATGTACGTTGTTCATCCCTCGCGAACACAAGGGATGCGGGACTTGCCGCAGGCAGCGGGATAGCCGTAGTCGTGCCTATGAAGAAACCCGCGTAGCCAACTCCTCGAGGCTGTGAAAGGCGTATCTTTGCAGGCCCCCTTGATCTTGATGAAACCAACTTGCCTGCCATTGGCGTTCAGGTACTCAAGTCTCCTCTTCCATTTGTCCTGCTGCAAAAGCCGACGCAACCACCAAGGGCTCACTTTCTGGTGCTTTTTGGCCCGCCTCTCGCACGCTGTGGCAAGCAGCTTCTCGAAACGAAGCATCAATGGAGATTTAGCCAAACTGTCCCGCTGGGCCAAGGCCCCCCGCTCCTCCAGGGCAGCATTTTTGAATCCGCTCCCACGCCTCGGGCGTGGCCAGGGGCGCCTCCAGAGCCCTCAATCCCCAACCTGGCCTTAGGCACGCCCCGCCCCCCCATGGGGGGCAGGGAGCGGGGGCGAGGGGCGGGGGAAGGAGGGGGACTGATGGGAAGACGATAAGGCATATATAAAGGACAATGGAATGAGAACATGGGTGGGGGATTTGCACAGGAGAGAGAGAGAGAGAGAGAGAGAGAGAGAGAAAGAGAAAAAAAAAAGAGAGAGAGAGAGAGCGAGAGAGAGAGAGGGAGAGAGAGAGAGAGGGATACGTAGACGAAGACAATGAGATAATATATATATACATACATATAGAGAGAGAGGGAGAGGAAAGCGGGGGAATGGCATTTCTGTTGCCGAAAAACGCCCACGCCACAACCCAGGCATGATAGCGGCAAGGGGGCCGACAGGCGACCAGTATACCTTCGCGCGGTCCCGGTCCCAGCGGGCGATGACCGAAAGTGGGGCATGGAAGTGCTCGACGGCGTCGCCCCGACTCGCTGCGTGCTTTTCCATCCACAAGATCACCTCACGAGCGTTCACCCATGCATCCGCCGACCCCTCGTGGCCGGGGGACAAAGGTGCGCGCGACATTTCGCTGTCCAGTTCCCTTTCGCCTTGGTCAGATGCGTATGTTTAGCATCCCCTCCCCCCTTCGTTTCAACGGTTCCCAGGCGGACCATGCACTGTTGCGGGCACCGCTGTTGCGAGCACCGAAGTCACCGACTTCGGTGGAGCTGCCTCTGGGGCCACGAAACGCGCGGGCATGTGCCAGAACGAACACGCGTCCGCAATCGGGCGCTGCCACTCGGGCCTTCGGTGACACTCCCTATGGGGCGCGTCTCATGCACGCGAAGATACAAGACCGCAGGATGGCTGGGAACAAGCAGTGCCCGCACGGAATCCCAGAAGCCCCCAAGACGACCCAAGAGAGCCCCAGGAAAGCTTCTTTCAAAAGACGGCCTCAGAGGGCCCAAAAGCCCCCAATACGGCCCACCAGCAGCAGGGAAGGCACCCATGAGCCCGCCAGGACCCCAGGCCATTTGATCACTTCCACGTCCGTCGCAAGCTC